GGAGGAGGAGGAAGAGGAAGAGGAGGAGGAGGAGGAGGAGGAGGAGGAGGAGGAGGAGGAGGAGGATGAGGAGCAGGAGATGTTTTTTCCCCGCACCCGCACGCGAGGCCGCGGGCACTCTGTGGAGCGCCGCCTCCTGGGCGTGCCAGGCCTCCGGCGTGCCCCCGCCGCCGGCGCCGGCGCCCCTGCGCGCGCTGGCGCGCAAGCAGGCCCGGCGCGGGACCCCGGCAGAAGACGGAGGAGTGTCAGAGGAGGACAAGGTACCCGTACCTCTACCCTCCCCTCGTTTTCTCCTGTTTGGGCCTCCTAGGCCTCCCTAGTCGCCAATGTTGGGTTTGGCTTCGAAATCCTGGTCAGAACGTATCTTTTGGTGTCCCCAGAGTGACCAACGCATTGAACAAAACAAGACTGGGGTTTTTCGCTAATTTCAGTTCCCCAGGGGCCCTAGCCGGGCCCCAGGACCGTCCAGAAACGATTCAGGATGAAAAACGGGTTTGGGGAAGGGGTCGAGACTTCCGGGGACCTTATATTGAAAAACACGACATCGGCTCTATGGGAGTGTCCGGTGAAGAAAAAGCGCCAGAAACATTACTTTGTGGCGCTCCGCGCGGATTCCTTGGATCTGTGCTGGACCCCCCTCGCTGGCGCGCGGAGCGCGCCGGGGGCGTCGCCAGAGGCGCCGCTGGGTGGGGGGCCACCGCGGATCCAAGAAATCCGAGCGGAGCGCCAAAAGTTTATGTTTGCCCATCGGTCGTTTAAAGTTTGTATTCTTGGATTCCCAGACTCCAATTTAGTTTGAGCGCCTTCCTACTTCAATGATCGAGTGGCTTCACCTTTTCCGTCCTCCTTAGGGGATGGACGGATCCGAATCTATTTCCGACACCTTCCTACTTCATGGTTCTACGTATTTCTTCTGACCGATGGGTATGTTTATGGCGTCTTCTCTTCGAAGTGTGTCGGTCGGGTCTATGAGAGGTGGGCGGGTTCAAGGTCGGCCAGGGAAGCGGGCGGGTGCGAGGTCGGCCAGATTCTTTCGAGGTTGCGCACGGGCAGCTGGAAAGCAATCGTGCCGGCATGCGCGCCTGCTCAGGGCCCGTGTGCGTGTGGAGTTAGGGCCCGCCGGCGGGGCCGGCCGCGCCACGCGCTCGGGGCGCGGCCCGTCCCCTTGAGCGGCCTCGCTCCCCTCCCGCCCCCTCTTTCGGCCGCATGCTCTGCCCTGTCCCCTCCTCCTGCATGATGGCACAGTTCTCTACAATGGCACCCCCGTTTAGTTGGTTCTCCGCCAGCGCAGTTCCTCCGCCCAGCCGCCGACGCAACAAAACGTTTGTGTGGAGTTTGCGCTCCACGATCCCACGTCTGGCAAGGCAGGCGAGCTCTTGCGGGCAAAGCTGTTCTGACATTAGTGTTGGATTACTCGAAGGAGCGATGGTTACATCTAAGGAATCCGACAGATGGAGCGGATGGGAGGGGATGTTTGGTGGTCCCAGGGGCAGCCAGGGGCAATCCAAAGGTTCGTGTTCGGAAGGTTGAACACGAGAGGAGGAGGAATGAGGAGGAGGAGGAGGAGGAAGAGGAGGAGGAGGAGGTCGAGCAGCAGAGGGACGATGAAATTGACGGAACGCGTTCCCTTCCAGTTGCTGGTGGATTTCAGGCGGAAGGAAGAGGAAGAGGGCGATGATAATGAAGAGGAGGGGGATGATGAGGTATAGAAAGTGGAGCAGAAGGAGGATTAGATAGAGAAGGAGGATGAGGAGGACGAGGACGAGGACGAGGACGAGGACGACGAGGACGAGGACGAGGACGAGGACAAGACGAGAAGGACGAAGAGGATTGGGGAGCAAGAAGGCGACGGCGACGGAGACGACGATTCACCCATGGAGGCCGTCGTGGGCCTTTCGCTCTGGGAGCCGTTTTGGAGCCACGCTGCAGCCCTCTCGGGGGCCTGCGGGAAGCCGTGGGGGTCGGCTTGGGGTCACCCTGGGAGGCCAGCGAGCCTCAACAAAAAGGGAGGGCGCGGACCAGCACGAGCACCGCCCTCCATACTTCCGAGGGGTCCCCTCGAGCCGACGGGTGGCCCCCCGAGAGGCCACGGTGAGACCCCGCGGGTGGGGGGGGGGGCCCGTCAGGACGCTCTTGGGGCGCTCTTTGGTGCCGTCTGGGGGCCCTCTTGGGCCCATCGCGGGGTTCGCCTGGGCCATCTCGGAGCCCTCCTGGGGCCTCAGAAGCCAACTCGGAGCTGGTGTTTCGCTGGGGGTTGGAAGAGCTTGGGCTCGGCTTTCTGGGGGGGGGGGGGGGGGCACACGTTTGGGAGATTCCTTGACGGCTCGGAGCCGTCTTGCGGCGGTCGTAGTTTTTCTTTGAGGCACGGTGGATGTTATCTTGAGCCATCTCGCACTATCCTGTGCGACGTTGGGCGATCTACAGTCTAGAGCTGTGTCGGAACACTATTGGCCGATTTGGGACGCTCTGACTCGTCGCGAAGTCTCCCTTCCAGACCCATGGGAGAGGGCCATTGGAGGGGTCTAGACGCTTCTCCCAGACGCAAACTGCTTGGCTCACTCCAACCCGCCCTCCCACCTCCCAACACATAAGTCGTACCCGAGTCTCAGCATAATCAGCGGTCGTCTTTGGATGGTCCGCTGAGGCGATGTGCGCCACGCGTGCCAGGCGCGCCACGCGCACTAGGCGCGCCAAGCGCCCTGGGGGCCCAAGCGTGTCAGGCACGCCTGGTGCGCCAGCCGCGCCATGTGCGCCACGTTCGGGGCACGCGCAGAGTGTGCCAGGTGCGCCCGCGCACATCGGCAAACATGCCGGCCCCCACAATCAATCCTTGTCGAAGTCCCATGCTCTATCGGGGCGGAATGGTCATCATGATGTCTGGTGGGCCTGCGCACAGCAGGCAATCTACCAGCACCCTGTCCGCCCCTCCCAGAGGCAAATGCAAAGTGATCGCGGGGTGTCCGAGCATGGTCCAGATCTAGCTTCGAGGCACAGTTTGTATGGTCTGTGGCCAAGGCCAGAACCGTGACGGACGCCGTTGCGCTCCTTCCCAACCGCCCGCCCAACGCATAGCTAGCCCCGCGAGTCTCAGCATGTGCGTCGGTTGCCATTGGATGGACAGCCGATGGGAAGCAATCCAGGCGCGAGGTGCGCGACGCTGGCGACGTGAGCCGCGCGTGCCACGCGCACCAGGTCCGCCAGGCGCCCCCGGGGTCCCGAGCGCACCAGGCCGGCCAGATGAGCCGCGTGCGCCAGAAGTGCCAGGCATGCCACGTGCTCCACCTGCGCCGGAGGCGTCAGCGCACGTGAGAGCACACACTGGAAGCCATGTCGGCCCCCCCCCACACCCCTGACAAACACGATTGCGAAATGGCGGCGGGTTGGCCGTCATTGTCCATGGCACGTTCACTCGCAGGCACCTTGCATGTGTTTATTTACAGGGAGGATATGCCCGCACGTACACACGATGCAATATGAGGCCACCCCACCATCCCTGTTAAAGAAAGCAACTTGATCGCAGCACGCCCGCGGATAGTCCAAGATTGTGCCGTATGTTGTATTTTGTCATGTTTTTTGCGTGGGATGTTGGCGTGGTTCGGGCTTGCCGTCGGTCGGGCGGGGGAGGGGTGTTCATACATCAGGAACAAAGACGAATCCCTTCCTGAAGGGAAAGCAGGGTTTCCGGAGAGGAATCGTCTTGGACCACCTTCGCCCAAAGGGCTGGTGGGGTTCTGGGCTCCACCCCGGGCTCCCTCGCGCAATGAAAGCCAAAATACCCCAGCGATACGGGAGGTGCAAGGCGAGCTCGTTTACAATCGCGCATTGTCCTCAGCTGGCCAATGTGTCCCCTGTATTAGATATTATTGCCCCTGCTGCCTCGCCAGCGGCTAGCTCACCCCCCGAGTCTCACGGGCGCCAGTCCGGGGGACTAGTGCTCAAAGCCCCAGCGGGGATTTGCCTGTGCCAAGGGAGTGATGGGCTAGATCCTTGATCGGCCCATTGAGTTCTCCGCCAATTTTGTATAGAACAGGGTTTCCAGCCCGCCTCATCGCGTGACGGCCATGCAAAGGCAGGAGGGTTCCGCAGGAAGGTAGTCGATCGCTGGGCGGCAGAAGGGCCTTGGAGGTAATCGAGCTGTGCTTGGAGTTCCGGGCTCGTCTGTAGGACGCCCTCAGGAGCCTACAGCAAGCGCAGAGAGTCCCTTGAGGCGGTTGCTGCAGAAGTCAGGGACATCTCCCATCAGTCGTCAAGCGCACGGACCCAGCATCCAAGGATGAACAGGTACGATGTGATGTCTAGGTGGTCGGTTGTTCGTTATGGTGAGTTTCTGCCACGGTCGCGACAGTACTTGGCTTGGTGACCAGCCACCGGTTTTCCAGGAGTGTGGCTTCAGCAGGAGATATCATTGGGCGTGGCCACCCGGAGCTTGATTTGTGAATATGGTTGAGCGGTGTGGTCGTGTTGTTTATTCCTGCGGTTGCGCCATCACTACATCGCGTCATGTTTGCTTCATGTCGTTTGGATTCCGTTGCGGCAGGTGGCGTTACTTAAGCACGTGTGGCTCCAGAGCAAGCAAGGTGATGTGGACTCCGTGTTGGAGGCCTCGCAGTGGGGTGCGATCGGGACGTCTGAAATGTTAGGGCAGGAAGGATATTTGTCCATAGAAATGTTCGACGCGCACGGGTGCACAGCAACGCTAGCTTGCGTCACGCTTGAACGATGGGTTGGACCCTTCACCGGGCTCTTCATACATGTTGTCTCGCTAAATCCCTTGGAATCCACACCCGTGACCAGCGCCTCTTGGAGAGGGAGGACATGCTTTCTGCGCACGAGCACGCCTCCTCTCGCGCACGGAGGGCAGCAGGTCGCTGCGAGGTCGCTCGCTGGCTGACCGAGAACCACTGACTGTAGGCCTCCCAGATGAGGTCGGAGTATGTGGGGTTGGAGGATCGCGCCGCGTCGCCGATGCATCGGCAAAGCGGCTCCATGTCGAGCCCTTCTTCTCCACGCCGACGTCGACGATTCAGAGGCGAGCGAGAGGGGGAAGTGAGAAGGAGAAGACCTTCTCAGAAGGCGGGGTGACTTCTCAGAAGCACTCGCGCATTCTGAAAAGTTTTTGTTGGTTTTCGGAGAAAGCTTCGAAAACTGCTCAGAAGGCCGGCGGACTTCCGAGCCTTCTGACAAGGCTCGCCCCTCTTCATTCCCCCCCAGGCGCGCCGCCTAACGATGCGTCGCCGACGGCGCCGATGCATCGCCGACATCGCCGACATCGCCGATGCATCGCGCGATGCATCGCCGCTGCATCGCCGATGCATCGGCGATGCGGCGCGATCTTCCAGCCCCAACTGCTCGGACCCCATCTGGGAGGGCTCTGCGGAAGGCCCACGAAAGTTTAGTTGGACATGTCCCTCTAAATAGTTCAGACATGATGTTGGGACGACATTTGGACTATTTTTGACTATGTTTGAATATGTTTGACTACTTTCTATTTTCCTCCTAAATCTGCTTGTAGGAGGATATGCCCGACCTAATGCACGTGACACGTCGGTGTTTGATCGCGCTCTGCCGGCGGCGCGCAGGGGGGCGCGGCGCGCGAGGGTGCGCGGACCTCTGAGGGTCTGTGGGAAACTTTCCCGCCTTCCAAGGGAGGGTATCCTTGCGGGCAAGATGTAATATCCATGTCTGCTGCATTTTGGAGTTTCGGGCTCCCTTCCCCAATCCCCCGAGGCGCAGTGCATCTGGATAAAAGCCTGGCCCCTAGAGGCTGGAGTTCTATCCGTATCCACTTCGTCTCGGTTGTTTGGGCGCCTTCTTCCCACAATGTTACAAACGCAGTGGATCTAATTTGAAGTCTTGTCGGCACATCTTCAGAAGACTTTTGTGGTTAGAAGGCTAAGCCGACCTGTTTCTAGAAGCAACATCTGGGCCGATGCCACATACCGTTCTCACGTCCTAGCCAAAAGCGTCTATGGACACATCGGGTGCAGTGACGTCCATGGACACTTTCAGGGTGGATACGTCTATGGACAACGTGGCCGTTGCGTTCGGCGCGGTGCAAGGTCGGAGAACGGGTAGATGATCCGTCTACGGTACGTTCCTGTTCTAGACCAGGTCCTATATGGTATTCCAGGATTCCAATCTTGCGGGCCTCATGTCGGGGGCGGCCAAGAGGGGGGTGATGACTAGGGGGGGGGGATATCATGGCGTGGGCCATGATATCTCCTCAGACTTTATGGCGCCTCTTGGGCCGCGCACATGCCGCCGGCCATGATTTGTGCTCCCCCCCCCCTCATGGACGCCCCCTCTTGGACGCCCCCGATCCTGGGGGCCGCCTGTGGGCCCCTGGGGGACTCCTGGGGGCCCCTTGGGGGCCGCTGGAGGGTCTGCTGGCACTCTCGGGGGTCCTCTCGGGGCGGAGGGCCTGAGGTGTCAGGTCGTGCTCCCCCCCCCGTGGGCCGTCCCGGGGCGCCTCCGGTCGGCGGCGAGCAAAGGGGGGGGGGGCAGTGAGAGGGAGAAGGCCTTCTCAGAAGGCGGCGGGCCTTCTCCGAGGCCCTCGCGCCTCCTGCGAAGTCTGCGCGTCTGCCCGGGAGGCTTCGAGCACTTCTCAGAGGGCCGGGGGGACTTCCGGGCCTTCCGGGGAGGCCCGCCCCCCGCATATCCTTGCACCCCCGGGGGGACCGCCGCCGATTCCCCCGTCGTAGGGGCCGTCCTGTGGGGGCCTCCTCTGCGCTGTCCTGGAGCTCCCTTTGGGGCCGTCTTTTGGGGTCCTCCTCGGGACTTGCTCGGGGCGAGCTTGGCGCCGTCGCGGGGCGCTTTGGCCTCCGGATAAGTGTTGCATTTCTCCTTTGCCCATCCTCTGTTGGTCTCTCTCTTTCTCTGTCTTCCTCTCGTTCGCTTGTCCCTTGTCTCACCGTCGTCAATTATCATGCATGGCGGCGCCCCGGCGCCCACCTGCAGCGCCCCCGCGGCGCCTCGACTGCAGGCCGATGTCCGATGTCCGATGTCCGACCCAAGAGTCTCGCGAGACGCCACAGAGTTCTGCCAATTGGACCTCCTGGCCCTTGAGAAGTAGTGGGACAAGCCAGTAGTGAGGATCGACGGCTACTGAGAACCTGGAGACTCTCCATGTGAGCCGAACCCCCCGTCCCTCTCCCCGACAGGATGGCAGGCATATCAAACTTGCAGCTCGGGAAACGTAAGACTCGTGTACGCTGGACCTCGGGTTCGCCTACGCTTTCTGACGAGCCCGCCCTGGATGTGGACAGTCCAGTTTCCGTGGGATGCCTGCAGCGGGAGCTCGCGTCAAGGTTCAGAGTGGATCTCATCAGTTTCACGATGGCCCCGTCAGGCCAACCCGAGTCCCCCGAGCCCGAGTCCTTACGTCTCCCCGAATAGTAGCAGCAGGCACGCGAAAGAAGGAAGTGGCCTGCCAGCGGGTGCCATACGATAATTGCGTACCCTCGGGTAGTCCCAGAGACCCATCGGGCACCATAAAAAGTTCGATGCCGACGAATGACGTGCCTGGACACTGTTTTTGTTAGCAAGACTTCGTATCCTACATGGACGCTTACATTCACAGGTGTGCGTGTTCAAGCTGTTTCACGAATAAGTCCGCAACGCTGCCGAATGACAAACACATGTCCTACATGTTCATTGTCGGAGGTTAAGGGGTGAAATCGCAGTGGAACGGAGAGCCCCCCCACTGGGAAATTGGTTTCGGTTTCGTGTTCGTGACCTGCGTGCGGGCGAGGCGAAGCTGCGCGGGCGCGCTGGAGGAATAACCCCGCCGTCGCTAGGGCGATTCGGATGCAGTGGACCGCCCCACCGCCACCAGTGGGCGCGCGGCGGCTCAGGGTGTCCCGCCGTGGTATCCTGTGGTGTCCAGTTGGTGTCCCGTCGGAATTCCGTCTGCGGTGGGCGGGCGGTGGCCAGGGATGCCCCGCCTTGTTATCGAGAGTGGAGTCGCTGGTGAGATCGTTAATGGGATCGCGAGAACGGGTGGATAGGTAGATCAAACGTGAGATCGACCGTGAGTTTGATTGTGGCATTACTTGAGATAGTGACATCGACAGAGGAATCGATAGTGAGATGGATAGTGAGATCGATCGTGAGACCGAACACGAGATCGATAGTGATATCTATAGTGAGATCGATAGTGATATCTATAGTGAGATCGATCGAGTGTGATCGATCCTGTGAGGTCGATCGTGGGATCTATCGAATGAGATCGATAGCGGGATCGTGGCATTCCATCGCAGCACAATATCGTTATCACGCGTCGTCGCCAACGCGAGGGCGCATCACCAGCATCGTCATCATCACACTCATCGCCTTTGCCAGCAGTTGGTTCTTTCCCCCCACGCCCCAACCTCCTGATCACCCGAAGGGTGGTCGTGTAGATATTATCGAGAAGGGTTCATTGGCGGGTTATGCAGCGATTTAGGTCCATCTTAGTGGGTTGCGGTCTAACATTGTGGGTTGATGAGGTGGTCAATCAATGTGGGCTCAGGCCAGGTGCTCAGAAGAAGGATGGTGGTATGGATCAAGAAGGTGGGCGCGCCCCTCCGCGCCACGGCACCATCTTCCCCGACCGCCGGGGACTCGACGCGCAGGGGACCCGCATCCTGATCCCCTATAGAATGGCAAGACGATCAAACCTGCCATCGAGAAGAGCTTGTTGGCAGACTCTGCAGCGACTTCGGCCCTCATGGGTGGCATAAGGCATCTATTGTAGAGGCCTCGCGGCCAGCGCCGCCGACCCTGAACGACGACTGCGACGACGACGACGACGACGACGACGACGACGACGACGAGTTGCATAAGGCCGTTTCTTTCTCGACCGCCCCACGCCCTTTTCTGGCAGAGTTCGTGCTCGCCTCGCTCCCGTCTGTTTTGTTTCGGGGTTCCAGTCCTTATTGTTTGTTCATTGATGGCTTTCTTGTCGCACGCCTGCGCACAGAGAGCGTCTGCGCGACAACGAAAGCCGCCATCTCGGTCTGAAGCAGTGCCACCGCTCCCCATCCCCCCGCACTCCGCCCCTGCTGTACATTATTATGCATTTCCCCGTCTCCCCCGTCTTCCGCCCAGTTTCTCCTCGCCCCGTGCCCCGTTCGCGTCGTTGTGGCTCTCGACTGCCCGCTCTCCACCCAGGAGGGTGCAGCAAAATCCGCTACCCGCCGGCAGGCCATCGAGAGCTTCGCGCGGACGCATGAATGGCTGAAGATTGCCGGCGGCTGCGCGCTTAGGCCGTGCCCGCTTCCCGGGCTGCGTCGGGGCTCCACGTGTTGTTGCCCATTTAAAAGGACGAGACCATGAGGTCGCGAGGTCCTTCCCCGCGGATCGAACTCCTCGCTGCAGGTTCGAGTCGACCAGCTTAAACGACCCGCCGACCCCGAGAAGGGTTTGATGCCATGCCCAGGGAGAGGGGTGCATCCGCAAACGATTGCGCAGGGTGAGAAAAGCAGCCAGACAGGGTGCAGGAAGCGGGGAGCAGGGATGCTGGAGGGAAGGGAAGGTTCAACGATGCGTGCTGCTCGCTGGAATTGCTGTGTATGTTCCAGCACACACAGTACAGCATTTCGTGGCCCCACAGAGGGAGCTCCACCGAAGGTCCCAGTGGCGGAACTCGCATGCGCCTCACCGTCCAGTACAACGCTTCGTGGCCCCATAGGGAGCTCCACCGAAGGTCCCAGTGGCGGAACTCGCATGCGTCTCCCCCACCCAGAACAGCGCTTCGTGGCCCCAGAGGGAGCTCAACCAAAGGTCCCAGTTGCGGAGTTCGCGTGCGTCCTTCCCACCCAGTACAACGCTTCGTGGCCCCACAGGGAGCGCCACCGAGGGTCCCAGTGGCGGATCTCGGATGCGTGCCAGCGTTTCGGGGCCCTATAAATAGCTCTACCGAGGGTCCCAGTTGCGGAGCTCGCATGCGTTTCTTCCCGCCCAGTACAGCGTTTCGTGTCCCCACAGGGGCGTACAGCGAAGGTCCCAGTGGCGGAACTCGCATGCGTCCCCTCCCGCCGAGATCCGCGCTTCGTGGCCCCATAGGGAGCTCCACCGAAGGCCCCAGTGGCGGAACTCGCATGCGTCCCCCAAACCCCGTACAGCGCTTCGTGGCCCCATTGGGAGCTCCACCGAAGGTCCAAGTAGCGGAACTCGCATGCGTCCTTTCCGCCCTGTACAGCTTTGCGTGGTTGCGGAGTACCACCGAAGGTCCCAGGTACAGCGTTTCGTGGCCTTATCGAAGGTTCCACCGAAGGTCCCAGTGGCGGAACTCGCATGCGAGTTCTCCCACCCAACACAACTTTTTGTGGCCGCGTAGTGATTTCCACGACTTCGACCGAAAGTCCCAGTGGCGGAGCTCGCATGCGTCTCCCGCTCCACCGAAGGTCCCAGTGGCGGAACTCTCATGCGTCATCCCCCCAGTACAGCGATCTGTGACCCCATAGAGAGCTCCACCGAAGGTCCCCGTGGCGGAACTCTCACGCGTCCCCCCCGCCCAGTACAGCGCTTCATGGCCCCATAGGGAGCTCCACCGAAGGTCCCAGTGGCGGAGCTCGCAGGCTCCACCGAAGGTCCCAGTGGCGGAGCTCGCATGCGTCTCCCTCCGCCCAGTACATTGTTTTGATGCCCCACAGGCGCGTCCACCGAAGGCCCCAGTGGCGGAACTCGCATGCGTCTCCCCCACCCAGAACAGCGCTTCGTGGCCCCATAGGGAGCTCCACCGAAGGTCCCAGTGGCGGAGTTCGCGTGCGTCCTCCCCACCCAGTGCAGCGCTTCGTGGCCCCGTATGGAGCTTCACCGAAGGTCCCAGTGGCGGATCTCGCATGGGTCTCCCTCACCCAATACAGCGTTCCGTGGCCCCAGAAGGTCCCAGTGGCGGAGCCCGCATTCGACCCCCCCACCCATTTCAGCGAGTCGCGCCCCCATATGGATCTCCACCTCAGGTCCTAGTGGCGTAGCCCGCACGCGTCTCCCCCAACCCAGTACAATGTTTCGTGGTCCTACAGGGAGCTCCACCGCAGGTCCCAGCGCCAAGGCCCGCACGCCACGCTTCGTGGCCACAGGGGGCTCGACCTACGGCCCCAGTGTCAGCGCCCGCCCCGCCCTATTTCAGCCAACTGCACACGCGTTTTATGGCCTCATGGGAGGTTCTGCCTACAGCCCCCGTTGCAGCGCCCGCATGGCGTCCCCGCCCCATTTCGGCGCAGCCTTCACAAGCTTAGTGGCCTCACGAGGATATCCCCCGAAGGCGATACTCACAATGACGGGGCTCACAGCTGCATATGGTTGGTCCTTCGCCCGGATAATTCCAAGTGAAGTGGATGACACCATTCTGCCGACCCTCACGAGGAGTGAGCGTTTGAGACGATCGTGGAAGTTATATCTTGAGTTCGGAGATTCTTATGTGTATGTCACCGTTTGTTCCCCTACGTTCGAGGCCGCCCGAGCTCGCGAGCCCCCCGCCTGGCCTTAGGTCGGGCATGTCCTCGTGGCTAATGGACGACAAATGAAACAATAGCTAAAACAGAATCAAACAGAGTGGAAACATCGTCCCCTGATTATCTATTTACTATTTTTGAATATTTCTCCTGTAGAGGAACATGCCTGACTTACACGCCGGTCGTTGAAAGTAGGTCGTTCTGGCTCTCCAGATCACAATCTACTTGAGCCGCCTTCCCACGCCAAGAGTCGAGCGGCTGTCCTTCTTCCCTCCTCTTCAGGGGGCGGGCGGAGGCCCGATCTGCTCCCAACGCCTTCCCACCTCCATGTTCCCACCCGCCTCTTCGCACGGAGGGGTCACCCGGGCCGGGCCCCACCGAGGTGACAAGGCGCGGCTGCTGGCGGCCTGCGTCCGGGCAGGCGCGCCGCGCTCGCCCGGCCGGCGCTTCTCGCACGCTCGCCTCGGCAGCGGGCCGCGGAAGCACGGGTGGAGCCTCGGCCGCAGCGGAGGGAGAAATCTCAGAGGACGTCACGATGCCTGGCGTCGATTTGGAGGCGCGAGGCCGAGAAGACTAAGATCCATGTTTAGCACGAAGCAAGCACAACACATGGTGCGTTCCAGAACGGGATATACTTCGACGACGAACACAAACGCCATAAACAGAAACCTTTGGCGCTCAGCGCGGATTTCTTGGACCCGCGCTGGGCTCCCCTGGCGGCGCCTCCGGCGCCGCCCCTGGCGCGTTCCACGCACCAGGGAGGGGGTATCAGTGCAGATCCAAGAAATCCGAGCGGAGCGCCGAAAGTTTATGTTTGTGTCGCCGCCTTTCTTCTTTCCAGAAAAGGCACCGAGACCGCGACCCTCCGTCGCTTTCGCCTGTTTGGGCCTCCCCAGAGGCCCTCGTCGCCACAGCGGGATTCGCGTCGAAATCTTGGTCCGAACGCATCCCAGGAGATGTCCAGGGAATAGCGGTATCCGGAGAAGCTGTACGGTAATTTGTGGTTTTTGTAAGATTCAGTTGAGAAAACGTCGTGCGGGAGGTGTTTCTGACAGTTCGAGCAGCGGGGGGTCTGTCTGGACCCAGGGCCGCCGAGGGGACATCGAGCTGATTATGGTCGGGAGCTATCGATACCGATTCCCGAAGATTGCAGGGGGCAGTCGAGGACTGAAAATTCCCGATCAGATTGAAGGGCTTCGAGGGTGATTGGTGCCGATGCCCTTGAGTCATTTTCGCCTTTCTGGGTCTTTGGGGGAGCCCTCGCCGCCACGGCTTGATCTGACTCGGAGTCCTGGTCAGAAAGCGCCCCAGGAGTGGTTTGTGGAGTTGCGGCACAAACATTTGTTGCCCCCCTTCTATGGGCGGGTTGTTGCTTCCATGCAGTTTCGGCTGGTAGGCTCGATTCCAGCGTCGAGATCCCCGCGCCAGTTCATCGCGGAGAGCCTGGTGCGTTGCGACTTCGCCGCCCAGCAATCACGCAAAGGGCCTGAGTGTGCACGACGTTCGGGGTTCCACTTCGGAAGATGACGGTCGGGATCTGTTGTCTGCGCTCTCCGAGGGCCGGCCTCGCTCTCTCAGGAGGGATGAAAACAAAGACACGATTCGTCGTCGACTCCCGGGAAAGTATGGGAATCTATGGGAAGCGGGGGGGAGACGAAACCCTTGAAAGTATGGGGAATCCTATGGTTTCGTGTCTATTCGTTTGTGTGTCCCTGGGCCTCTTTGCTTTTGTCGTTCCCATGGACGGCCGCGGCGCCCCAGAGAGAAGCCGGCCCCCGAGCGCGGGAGCCCCGGCGTGAGCCGCCGCCCAAGCTCGCGTCAGTTTGCAAGCCAGCCCTTTTCCGACGGGCGCATAGAGGCTCTGCTCTTCGAGACGGGAAGGGGGGCGCGCGTCAGAAGGCAGGCTCTGGTGTCGGGAGCCCCCCCCCCCCCCCGAGGGTCATGCTGCAGAGGAGCTTGGTCACAGTCAAGACGTTGTAATAAAGGACCACTTGGGGCTCAGGCGGGCCTCTGGTTTCGGGCCCGTTCCCTCGAGGCAGGTCGGGGAGCCTCGTTGTGGCCGAGGCTCCGCGCGGGCAGAAAAGCCCATCCCTTCCTCACTCAGCGTTCCTTACACAGTGGGGGCCCATGCCAAGAAACACCCTGCTGGCTCCCAGGGTGCCCTGGGTTTCGAGGGTTTTGCGGTGGAAGGCGCGACGACCCCACGCCAAAAGTCAAGGGACGTCCTGGGGTCTCAGGGTTGGGTTTCTTGTGGACGGTTTCTTGTGGACTGGCCTCCACTGCACGGTATCGCGATGACTCTCGGTCGTTTCGATAGGTTGTTCCCCCAGCGGTTCTTGTGCCCTCGGGTGAGGGGCTCAAGACTCCGGGGCGTGTGGTTTACCAGCCTGGAACATATCCCTATCCCTATGGTTGGTATCGCCTCAGCTCGATGCCGATCTTAAGGATTCCCTTCGTTTCTGAGGGCGCATCCCTAAGATTGTCGTCGCAATTGGCCTGTTGATCTTGGGGATAGGGATCCGTTCGAGGCTGGTTAGTGGTGGGTCCCCTCCGCTTCTGGCCACGGTGGCTCAGGGGGTCGTCGGAGGGCCAAAGAGCAAGCCAGTTGCGCTGCCGCGCGTAGCCGCCACCGCGCCTGTGGAGGGCTCTGGGGGGGAGGGCGGGGCGCAGGATTGGGGGGGGGCTCTCGGGGGGGGGAGGTCCACGGGGGTGCATAAGGAGGTGGACCCAGGGGAGGGGTGGGGGCTCCCGGAGGGGGGGGAGGGGGGGGGGGGAGGGAGTCTCAGGGGCGGGGGGAGGTCCACGACGGATCTTGATTTGGGCTCCGGGGGGAGGTCCACGAAGGATTCCGATCTGGGCTCAGTGTCTCGTGCGGGAGCCTAGCCGATCTGGGCAGCGTGTCTCGTGCGGGAGCCTAGGAACCTTGGGCCAAAAGTGGACGCGTGTTGGTTGGGCTCGATGCGTGAGAGGGGGGGGGAGTGGCGGCATGACTGTTGCCTCGCAAGGAGGCGAATGGTCCGCCGCCTGGTAGAGGTACCGCCTCGGTGCCGGTGCTGGGCAACTTGCACCGTGCTCGTCGTCCCTTCACGCGGAGCTGCATGCCCTCGCTGTCTTGAGCCAGTGGTCCTGCTTGCACTCCTCAGCCCCCCGATCGCGCCGACGCCGGGGCTCCTTCCCGTGTGGTGGCGCCGGGAGGCGCTGCAAGGCGAGACGGCTGAGCACAGCACACGGGCCGAGTGCGCGCGGGCTCCGAGGAGGCCTCGGCCGCCTCGGGGGGTCTCGGAGGGTCAGGGCCTGGCCTCGGCATGTTTTTCCCAAGCGCGCACAGCAAGTAGGCCGTGCACGACCAGAACGACTGCGGTACGGTCGGACCAAGGTATAAGATCGCGGTCGGTTCGGGGACGGGGTCCTAAGGTCCTTCGTGCTTGTACGATGGTCTTGTGCAATCCTGGGGAGCGTTTTCCTCCGGATGTTCCCGGCGTTTTGGCTGGAGGGCGGTCTCGTGTTCTCGAGGGGTGCCCTTGCAACAGTTTTCTTCGGGCCCGAGCTTGTGGCCCGCGTCGCCGCTGGGTTCGATGCGATCGCGGGCCCTGTGCCACTGCTCCAGGGAGAGGCAACGGCTGAGGAGTGAAGTAGCGACGAGGCGCCCTGGCGTGCCTGTCGGCGCACCAGAGAATGGGCTAAGAACTTCTTGTAGTCTGCACGAACTGTTCTTCGAACAGTTCTGGCTGAGATTGTCTTGGCATAGCGCATAACAGTTTCCGCCCTTGCCGTGCTCCGTCCTGCGAGGCACCGCGCAGCCATCTCCTATAAACACTCTGCCTGCCCTCCGTGACCCTCTGTGGCCGAGTATGTGATACGTGGGCGTCCTCTCGGGGCCCTCATTTTAAACGATGTTGACCGAATGGATCCCAGCAGGATGAAAGGATTTTTCATCACCACCAGGCCTACTTGGCAGGAGTGTCCCTAGGTTGGGGGGCTGCAGCACCAAGTTGCGCCCTCGTGACGAAGTACACTGCAAGACTTGGGCAGGACAAAACTAGGAATCTGCAGTGGGTCGACAGGCTATAGATGTGCATAGGGGCATGCTTGAATATTTGTACGTAACATGGCTGGGTACTCCGGGGTAGCAGCTAGGATGCGACCCCCCAGCATCGAAAAGCCAGTGTCACCTAGCCGATGGGGCGTCCCGTTCCCCAAGCTGTTTGCCCATCTTATCCGACGTCGCATGTGTTTTCGTGACGTGGGCCCCTGGGAATCTCGACCCCTTCCCTGAGCCAGGCTTACCGTCCTCGGTCTTTTTGGACGGCTCCGAGGCCAGGAAACAGCTTCTCCACAGTCCGATGTTTATTTATTCCCCATATCCTAAGGATTGGGGTTCTTGTTATTACTCTGACGCCTCCCACGCGCGGACTCCTTCCTCCCGCTCGCGCCTCCCTCCTCCCAATGATAATCACCAGATAAGACAAGACAAGATAAGATACTACATGATAAGATAAGATAGCACAAGATATGATAAGACATGATTTCAAGATAAGATAAGATAAGTTAAGCTCACACTCACACTCTCTCATGATCACAAAACGCTGCCAGGGGCATCATTAGGGAGCCCCAAGGGGGAGCCACCCTGGCTGATCTCGCGAGCCCGTTCGCGCCGATTTTGGTGGGACGTCTCAGCTAGAATTGCCGTTTGGCGCCCCCAACATGTATCTCTTGAGAGCCTCATGGTCACAAAACGCTGCCAGGGGCATCATTTGGGAGCCCCAAGGGGGAGCCACCCTGGCTGATCTCACGAGCCCGTGACGAGAGAGAGAGAGAGAGAGAGAGAGAGAGAGAGCAGAGAGAGAGAGAGAGAGGAAGCGAGAGAGAGGGAGAGGAGAGAGAGAGAGAGAGAGAGAGAGCGGAGAGAGAGAGAGAGGGGGAGTTGAGAGAGGAGACAGGCGAGAGAGAAGAGAGAGAGAGAGAGAGAGAGAGAGAGAGAGAGAGAGAGAGAGAGAGAAGAGAGAGAGAGAGAGAGAGAGAGAGAGAGAGAGAGAGAGAGAGAGAGAGAGAGAGAGAGAGAGAGAGAGAGAGAGAGAGAAGAGAGAGAGAGAGAGAGAGAGAGAGAGAGAGAGAGAGAGAGAGAGAGAGAGAGAGAGGAGAGAGCGAGAGAGAGAGAGAGAGAGCAGAGAGAGAGAGAGAGAGCGGGAGAGAGCGAGGGAGAGCGAGAGAGAGCGAGAGAGAGCGAGTGAGAGCGAGAGAGAGAGAGAGAGAGCGAGAGAGAGCGACAGAGAGCGAGAGAGAGCAAGAGAGAGCGAGAGAGCGAAGAGAGAGAGAGAGAGAAGAGAGAGAGAGAGAGATAGAGAGAGAGAGAGAGAGAGAGAGAGAGAGAAGAGAAGAGAAGAGAAGAGAGAGAGCGAGAGAGAGAGAGAGGGAGAGTGAGAGAGAGAGGAGAGAGCAGAGAGAGAATAGAGAGAGAGAGAGAGAGAGAGAGAGAGAGAGAGAGAGAGGCAGAGATAGAGGCAGAGAGAGAGAGGCACAGAGAGAGAGGCAGAGAGAGAGAGAGAGGCAGAGAGACAGAGGCAGAGAGAGAGGCAGAGAGAGAGAGAGAGAGGCAGGGAAAGAGAGGCAGAGACAGAGAGAGGGCAGAGAGAGAGAGAGAGAGAGACAGAGAGAGCAGAGAGAGCAGAGAGAGAGGCAGCTCAGTCACACTTAAATCTAGATTCGTCCTCACCGAGTCCCACCACCAAGGGAGCGCCAGCAAGGAGATGCACATATGGGGATCCCCACGCAGTGAATAATTGTTTTGCCGATCGGCGCGGGTCCTCGCACCCCTCCTACCCCCCCCATGGAGTAGATCTTGGCTGGTTTTTGGCGCCTGTTTCGAGCGGGTGGAGTCTCCCCGAGAGGCAGCACTCTTGCAAGCAGTCGCACTAAGCAGAGGTCGGGAGACAGACCTCCACCCCCTTGCGCCCAATGTCGAAGCGCCGAATTAAAAAACGTTCACGAAGTGATCGTTTTCTTATTCATTGTTTTGCCGATCCGCGCAGGCCCTCGCCCCCCCCCCTCCCCCCCCCTGGAGCAGATCCTGGCTGTTTTGGGCGCCTGTTTCAGGCAGGTGGAGTCTCTCCCCCACAGGACGCACTGCTGCTAGCAGTCGCACTGTAAGCAGAGGTCTGGAGCCAGGCCCCCTTCTCCCCCCCCCTCCCTTCCGCCCCATGCCGAAACGCTGAATAAGAGAGCGTTGACGAACGCAGACCCCCCCCCTCCCCCCGCCCCTTCCGCCCAAGGGCGAAGCGCCGAATGCAAGATGGCGTCGACGAGCGAGCGCGGCAGAGCCAGCCGTCGCCAGGTTGGCTCCCGGCGCCCCGGCCGAGAGCGGCCCCCCCGTGTTTCCCTCGCTGCCGCGCGGGCCAGGCGACCGCGTGGTCGAGTTCGGGACCTTCGTCGGCTATCCGCGGTCGGCTGGCGCCCAGTCCGCCCCCCGCGCCATTCTCGGATGGGGCGTGCCGAGAAGGGCCTCGCCTTCGAGGATCGAAGGAGGAGTCGTCTCTTCCGCGGCGGAGTGCGGCGGAAGGGCGGCGGAAGGTCGGCGGAAGTAAAGCAAGGCTGCCTCCGCCGGCGGAAGCCGACGGAAGGCTGGCGGAAGGCGGCGAGAGTAAAAAGTTGCTTTACAAGAGATGCAATCCGGTAGATGTTCTTAAACAGAAGCGCTGGGTGCGTGTTTTCCGTTTTCGCGATCGACGTTTCTTTTTGTTTGCCTTGTTTTGGGAGTTGTTTTTTCTCAGTTTGGGGATTGCCGTCTCGCTGTTCTCGGTTCGTTTTGCGATATGTTTTCTGATTGTTTTAAATTGCCGTGTTTGTGCATGTTCCCCGTGTCTGTCATTTGTTTTCTGTTTTGAGATGTTGTTGTTCTGTGTTGGGCTGCCGTTTGGTTGCAGTATTTTGTTATGTGTTGGTCGACGGCACACACGAAACATTGAAAACGGAACACAAATGTCCCCAGCGTTTTCAAGAACAACTGAGCCCCAGATCCCGCGTAGAAAGGGGCGGCCGTGCCCTGGGCCAAGCTTCGACCTCTCCAGCTACTTTGCAGCAGCGACGAGCGTTTAGGGACCCACACGCAGGTCGCCCGCGTGGACTTGCGCATCCCTACGAGCGACGAGCAGATCCACACAGCCATGCCTTCGCAGCCGGGATGCCGAGGCGCGATCCCGCAGGCACGTGATCCCATGGATGCGTTCCGCACCGGGCGTCCGCGCAAAAGCGCCATTTGTCCATGGGGCCGCGGCCGAGGAGTCTGGATCGAGAGGTGGAGACGTTTCCCACCCACGGGATCCGCGAGCGAATCCGCCAGGCGTCCGCAGGCACCATCCCGCATGAGGGTGCGCAGGCGTGTCCGCCCGCCTGGTCTACCAAGCGTGCGCACCAGCGCTCCTTGCTGTCACGCCGGCAGGCCCTTCAATCCAGATTGCCACGCTGAGTCAGCGTATGAGGCAGGTTGCCTCCTCGAGCGACCAGGGACCAGGTATCAGGCTGTGGTTGCCGGCGCTGAAGCGCTGCACTTGGTAGATGGCATTCTGAGGACCAGCGACATCGGTGCTCCCACCTTCCTTCAACCCTGGAGTCCGGGGCCTGGCTTGCAGAGCATCCCTCACGAGGCCCAGCGCGGGTCCCCAAGGGGTCCAGGACGGCGCGGAGAGTTGGGGGCACCTTGGGCCAGGCGACCTCCGATTACTCCTGCTGCCTGGCGGCTGGCTACCATGAAGAAACCGCGAGGCCGCCTTCGGTGGCGCTGGCGGACTCGGCACTGGTGGTGTGCAGGCGTCTCCGTGCCCTCGGCGGCGGCGGGCGCATCATCTCGTGCGAGCTCGACGCCGCGACGGCCTACGTGGCGCGCGAGGTGCTCGCGCGGGCGCCTCGGGTCATCCTGGCAGGGTGGGCGCTGGCGGGGTGCCCGAGAGCGCGTAATTCGGTGGCGAGCGAGGGGGGGGAATGAGAAGGTGAAGGCCCTCTCAGAAGGCGGCGGGACTTCTCAGAAGCCCTCGCGCCTTGGTTTCTGTATTCGGGGAAGGCTTAGAAAACTGTTCAGAAGGTCGGGGGACTTCCGAATCTTCTGAGAAGGTCTTCTCCTTCTCACTTTCCCTCCTCGCTCGCCGCCACGCAATGGGGGGGGCAGCGAGGGCTGCAGAAAGGAGCCCGTTAGGGCCCCTAAGGAGGCCCTTCAGGGCCCGAGAGGGGCTCCTAGGGCCCGACAAGGGTTTCTTCCCACCACAGATCTCAGGGCAACGTAAGACTCGAGTGCGCCGGAACTCGGATTCTCCTACATTTTTGGACGAGCGCGTCCCAGATTTTGACGGCCCATTTTTCGTGGGACGTTTGTAGCCCGAGTTCTCGTCAAATTTCAGATTGGGCCATGTCGGTTTCGTGGGCCGTTTTCGTTTCGAATTGTTTTGTAGGGAAGGCGGAACGAAGACACAACGAGGGAACACGAAATCACAACGAAAACGGAAAACGCTGTTTAGGTCGAGGGAAGTGGAGGAGGAGAGATGATCTGCGACCAATTGTGAACTTTATCCCTGCGGGTTCAGTCGACACTTGGGTCTTGGACACTTCCGCTGGGGTTCACGTGGCTGCGGGCCTCCTTCGAATTTGGAACCAACGCAACGCGTTTCGTGAATCTGACCTGCAAGGTAAGGCAATGTGGCTCTTGGGAGGAGGAGGAGGAGGAGGAGGAGGAGGAGGAGGAGGAGGGGGAACCCGAGGGGGGCCCAGGATTCACGCTCGGTCCTTTCTGCATGCGCACGTCAGCCGCTACAGACCGCATTTCCTCGATCTCCCTCCCCATTGAGGTTCTTGTTTGTGATGGAGTCGTGTCCGCCGTCCGGTCGTTCTCCTCGTTTCTCTCCCCACCTTGTTTTTGTTCGCCCCTCCGCTCTGCGCTTCCGGGTGGGGCTCCCCCCTCCTCTCCCTCCTCCCTTTCCTCCTCCTTCTCGTCTCGTCTGTGAAGGGGTGATCACTCCGTCCAACTCTGGTCCACATGAGATCCCAAATGGCTTCCAGAGCCGGTCCGCATCAGGCCCAGATCGGACAGCGCCGGGCCACGTTGGCTCGAAAGGAACAGACACCAGAGGGAACGAGCAGGGACGGAGGCGGAGGTGGCTCTACACACCTCAGGAATGGAAAAAGCACAGACACCCTTTAGTCGTCGACCCCCAGGAAAATAGGGGAAGTGGGGGGGGGAAGACGAACACCCAGACAAAAATACACGAAGATGTGGAGAATCCTGGGATTCGTGTCTACTTGTCGGTGTGTTCCTGGCGCCTTTGACAGGAGGAGGAGGAGGAGGAGGAGGAGGAGGAGGAGGAGGAGGAGGGATGAGGAGGAGGAGGTTTTTCTTCCCGAGAGCCCGGGAGATCCGCCGCGCGCGCGCGGCGCTGGCGATCGGGGGGCCGAGGTGGGCGGGCGCCGGCGCAGAGGCCCCGGGGCGGCCCGCCGGCCTCTTCGCGCCGCCCGCCACCTCGCTGCCACCCTGCTCCTCCTCCTCCTCCTCCTCCTCCCTCCCTCCCTCCCTCCCTCCTCCCTCCTCTCCTCCCTCTCTCCTCCTCCTCCTCCTCCTCCTCCTCCTCCTCCTCCTCCTCCTCCTCCTCCTCCTCCTCCTCCCTTTCCCAGGAGGCACACTCCCCCCAAACAAATGCCATCGGCGAAACAGGGGCCCGCGCCGCCCGCCACCTCGATGCTGTTCCCATCGTGCTTGGGGTAGCGAGGAGAGTGTCGGCCCGACACGCTGACGACATGTCGATCGGCCATCGTTTCCCAGGGCTCCCACACGAGAAGGCCGCCAGGTTTCACGGTGCTTTCCTGGTGGTCGGAATTGTTTTTGGTGATCCGGGCTAAAGTTAGTCGGGCATGTCCTTCTACAGGAGGGATAATCAAAATACTCAAAAGTTGTCAGGCGACTTTTTCATTACTATGCTTGCCTATTTTTGAAATTTCTTCGACTCTTTTTAAGCTTCCGTCCCAAATCCCCCTGTAGGAGGTGTACGCAAGCACTGTGGTGTACACATCACAAGCCCTGTGGTGTACACAGGCGCCGTGGTGTACACAATCGCTGTAGTGCGCAAGGTCGCTACGATGTAAGCGTGCGTTGTGGGCTACAAGAGATTTGTTGCAGTGTCCTGCGATAACCCCGGTTATCGGGCTCGCCCCACCTCCCCCCCCAGGATAGCCTCACTTAGCCGGTTGTGCAGGTCCGGGGCGCAGGGAACTCGCAGGGAGAGCTGTGTTCAACAGTACGTTGGTGTTCGCAACAGCACGCTGGTGTTTGGATGCACGTTGGCGAATCGTTGGGGCTTGGAGTGGCACGGGGGGACGACGACGACAGACGACGACAGACGACTACAGACGACGACATCCGACGGCATCCGACGACAGACGACGACAGACGACGACGACGAACGACGACGAGCGACGACGACGACGACGTCGACGACGACGACGACGACGACGACGAGGAGGACCGACGTCGCCCATTGCGTTGTGCACAGGCAGCGAAGCGATTTGATGCGCGCATTTGCTGTTGTTGCAGCAGGATGTGTTGTGTACGCAGGCGTTGTGGTGCACGCGAGCATAAGTGCACGCAGGTCGCGCGGTGCACGCGGGCATCGTGATGCACCAGGCAATCTGGTGAAGACAGGCCTTGTGGTGTGCACAACTGTTCCTGCAACATCAGTTATCATTCACGCAGGCATCCCAAGCATGGTCGTGTACAAAAGCATTGTGGTGCACGGCCATGGCGGTGTACCACACCTTGTGGTGTACACGGGCGCTGCGGTGTACACATCCGTTGCTGTGCACACATTCGTTATAGTGTACACGTGCGTCGGCCCGAAAGACGGGACTGCTTCCTGCGCAAGAAAAAGCAATAATCACACATAGCTTACACATTGGATTTGATACGTTCCCGCCAGGGGCCCTGGAAGTGTACGCAGTTCTATGGTACACAAGCACTTTGGTGCACGAGTATGGTATTGAAGCAGCAAGTGTGGTGCACATAGGCGTCGTGTACACAGGCAGTGTGTGTGGCGTGTACACAGGCGCTGCGGTTCACACGGCTGCTGCAGTGTACATAGGTATTGTGGTGTACACAGACATTGTTGTGTAGACAAGCGCTGCGGTGTACACAAGCAGCTGTGGTGTACAAAGGCGTCGTGGCGCACGCTAGACAGGCGCTTTGGTGTACACAAGCATTGTCGGCCGAACACGGGGCCGCACCCCGGCCCAGAAAAATCAATAATCACAAATAACCTACATATCGAATTTAAAACATTCGGGCCAGGCCACTGGGGGGGTCCCAGATTAGGGCCCCGGCGGGACCTTGAAGGTGCACGGAAGCGTTGTGGCGCAAATGTTCGCCATGCGCTGTGGTGCACGCAGAAATCTATGCTGCAGCAGCACCTGGTGTGCAAGACCGTTGTGGCGCTCGCATGTTTTGCAGTATTCAAAGGCAGTGTGGTGCACGCGCGTTCTACAAATAGTGTACACAAGACTTTTGTGGCTGCGCTTAGCAACCGCATCCCGCGCATGCCAATGCGAGCTGTCCAGACATCCTTTGGCATTTTCAGACGGCGCCCGCATCGTCGCAGCACCAATAGTAGCATCGCGGCAGCATCGTTAGCAACGGTAGGGGCCGCAGCACCGGTGCGCGCGGGCATATGCAAGGCTGACCACAGCGCGAAGGTTAGGTTATCGGCCGGCTCCCCCCTCCCCCCCGCTCCCTGGACATCCCAGGTTATCGCCGATAAAAACAGTTTATAATGGGCCCACGCATATCTTCGCACTTCTTCATTCTCCTCCCTCTTCATTTCCGTGCGCAGGCGTTGCGTTTTACATTCGCTGTGGGCTCAAAATATCCCAGCGTTCCTCGGGCCAGAAAAGAACAATAATCACAATCAGATCAGAATATAGGATATGATACATTCGGGCCCCCAGCAATTTCCTGGACTTTGGCCCCGTCGGGACCGTGGAGGTGTACGCAAACTGTGTGGTACACGCAGGCAGTGTGGTGCACGCGGAGGGGTAAGGAAACAGCAGCTGTGGTCAATAGTCACAGGCGTTGCGGTGCAGACGGCTGCTATGGTGTACATCGGCGTTGCTCTGTGTATCAAGATGTTCTCATGGGGCCAGAAAAACAAAGATTCACAATCAACTCAGATATTGAATTTAATTCGTTCGGGCCCCCGACGATTTTCCGGAGCATGGCCCCGACGGTATTGCCTTCAGGCGTGCACGAATTTTGCGGTGTGCGCAGGCGCTGTTGTGCACAGGGGGTGCTGAAACAGCGGCTGTGGTGCACGCAGGCGCCGTGGTGTGCACAGATCGCGCGATGTACAAAGGCGTCGTGGTGCACGCGGTTGTTATGGTGTACACAGTCGCGGTGGTGCACATACACTTGATTTCTGTAGCAGCCCCGGTGTACGTGCTGTGTGCTCAGGCGTTGTGGGCTTGGGCGGCGACGACGATGACGACGACGACGACGACGACGACGACGACGACGACGACGACGTAGGCGGCGCGCCTCACGGGGTGCGCGCCGCGGCCCCAGTTACCGTTACCCCCCCCACCACGCTCCCCCCCCCCCCAGGTAACATGCGTTATCCCACAGAAATAACAAAAACTTCTCTGGATCGTCCCGAACGGCCGCCGGACAGACGATGCATGATCGGGAAAAGCCAAGGGACAACCGTAGACGGGGACATAGGCTCAGGGGGGTGCACTGGCCTCGAATGGCCCACTCATCGCCGATGCGTGCCCGATGGCCCACCCCGCCCCTCCTCGCGCCGCCCTCCGCCCACCTCGCTGCCATCCTGCCCCCCGTCGCCCTGCAGGCCGCCCTACCAGGGCAAAGTTCGATCCGCTCGATCCGCTTCGGTATCGGTCTCCGGCCAGCCCCATCCGATTCGATTATCCAAGAGACTTACGCCATTTCGCCGACCCCGCGCAGAGGTCAGAAGTTCACGGTTGTGGTGGTTGTGAAGTCTTTTGGGAGTGTTTAGGTTTAGGAGTCGTTTTTCCAGATCTTGAGAAGTTTCTCTAGCGCATGCTGGCGGTGGTTTGGGGGCCTAACGAGGTGGAGGGCGCGAAATGTCAGTTGGAGTTATGTGTCCTGGGTTTTTCTCGCGCCTTTTTGAGGCTCTCTTGGGCTCTCGTCTGCGCCTCTTCGATTGTTTTGGAGGGCTGTTGGGGTGTCCTCGGTTCTCTCGGGGGTTCCTAGGGGTTTCTTGGGGGGATGTTATGGGCTCTGGCCGAGGGCGCGTTGTCAGAGAGCTGGCGCGGGACCCGCAGAAAAGGAAAGAAGCCCACGGGGTCTTTAGGGGCCTTTTGGAGACCTTTGGGGGCCTTTTGAAAACCGTTTGGGTGCCTCTGGAAGTCTCGCTCGGGCTTCTTGCGGGCCTCCTGGGGCCTCTTGAGGGCTCTTGGACTTATGCTGGGGTCTCGGGGGGCTCGCTTGGGGCGGAGGGCTGGAAATGTATGTCAGCCTAAGTTTCAGGAGGGGAAACAACACACAGACACAATTAATCGTCGAGACCCAGGAAAAGATGGGAAAATATGGGAAGTGGGGGGGAAGACAGAAACCCAGAAAGTATGGGAAAATATGGAGCATATTTTTATGTGTGTGTATTTATTTGTGTGTGTTCTGGGGCCCCTTTAAAGTTGCCCCTCTTTGGTTTCTCTTGCGGCCCTGTGGGGGCCCTCTGGGCCCGTCGTGTGGTTTTTTTGGGGGGCCGTCTTGGGGCTTTCTCGTGGGTCTCTTGGGCCGTCTTGGAGCAGTCTTGGACGCTTCTTGAGCCGTCTTGCGGGCTGTTTGGACCAAGAACAAAAAAGAAGCGAATATGCTGATAATGTGTGTTTTCTTGCGGGGAAATGACGCTTTGTGCTTATTTGGACCCTCTTGGGGATCCTCCTGGAGCCCGTGGCTTGGGCACTCCTCGGCGTCTTCGAACGCAACGTGAACCAGCGTAGATGGCATCTTGGGCATGTTGGAGGCCACGGAGTGCAGAAGTCGAGGCTCCGGAGGCCCCGGGGACGCGTTGGCGAGCTAGAAGATCCCCCCCCCGCTTAAACCTGGATTTTGGGTCCTGGGGGAGGGGGCAGCGGGGACGGGGACAGCCACATGTCTCACGCGCCCGTTCGTTCACCCCCGACAAAGCGGGGGCCGGCGGACCCGATGTCGGTTCGACTGCTCGACTCCGGGGTTCCGGCGATCCGCTACGGCCCGATGCGCTGCAGGGCGCTGACTTGTGCACTCTGGCGCGGCAGGTTCGATTCGACTCTGGCTCCGTGCCGATGCGGCCTGATTCCACGCACGCTGACGATCCGATCCGACCTCTCGATGCGATACCGTCCGCGCCTGCTTTGCTGCGGCCAGACGCGTGTCCGCGGTTCGGTCGGCTCGGCTGCGTCGCAGCCGGTTGCGCCC